GCAGCATTATTTATAACTGCCAAGAAGTGGAAACAACCTAAGTGTCATTTAACTGGTGAATGGATAAGGAAGATGTGATATATTCACACAATGTAATACTACTCAGCCATAAAAAATGAAATTTTGCCACTTATAGCAACCTGGATGGACCTGGAGGGTATTAAGCTAAGTGAAATAAGTCAGACAGAAAAAGACAAATACTGTATGATATCACTTATATGTGGACTCTTAAAAAAGTACAACAAACTAGTTAATATAACAAAAATGAACAGACTCACAGGTATAGAGAAAGAACTAGTGGTTACCAGTAGAGAGAGGGAAAGAGGGAGGGGAAGAGTGGGATAGGGAACTAAGAGGTACAAACTACTATATATAAAATAAATAATCTACAAGGATACATTGTACAACATCAGGAATATAGCCAATATTTTACAATAACTGTAAGTGGAATATAACTTAAAAATTGTGCATCACTATGTTATACACCTGAAACTTAATACTGTACATCAACTACACTTCAATTAAAAAATGAACACCTTTGGTTACCTTAGGTGATGGGGATTTATTATAAGGAAACACAGGGAAACAAAAGAAGCACAGGAAACCTTCTCAGAAGACAGACTTCTTAGAAATTACTAAAAATTGGCTCATTGCCATTAAAGACACAGTGTCAGCTCTCCTAGCATGAAGGACATTCTGATGGCCCTCTGTGACCCTGAAAGGACCCCAGTGACTCTGTCATCCCCAGGCTTCAATGTTTTTTTCTTAGGTCCACTTCTTTGCTTCTGCTACTACCAACTGTACAGAACAGATACATGGTATGCTCCTAATCTGTTAAAAGTAGAAGGGAGGTTTATACTTACACAGATATGCATTTACTTTCACACAAACACACACTCATAAATTCACAAATTTTATTTTTCTGTAATGATGGTCAAGAAAGTGGCCTAAGCAGATGCTTCTGGGGAAAGAGGACTAGGGAACCGTGGTTCACACTTTTTTCCCCACACACAAAAAAGTGGTTATCCACTTTTTAAAATTTTTTACTATGTACATATATTATTTTTCAATTAAAATAAAAATTGGCGGATTTCCCTGGCAGTCCAGTGGTTAAGACTCCATACTCCCAGTGCAGGGGGTCCAGGTTCAATCCCTGGTCAGGGAACTAAGATCCCACATGCTGCACCACATGGCCAAAAAAAATGAATAAAAATAAAGACACCAATTTCTAAAAAAATTAAAATTAAAAATTGGTTTTAAATAACATTTACTATGTAGCTCCTCTGTGGACTTCTGCTTCACAGAGAGTAATTTCTGCTAGGAAATTTAGTGAATGAATAAAACAAAACCACAAAAGCCATTTTCCCTTGGTGGTCTTTGGTCAAACATCATGGATATGCTCACTAACTGAGAGCCAACAGGTGGAAAGAAAGAGGAGGACCTGAGAGGAAGGTTACAATTAATAACACTGAGGAGGGGACTTCCCTGGTGGTCCACTGACTAAGACTCCACACTCCCTATGCAGGGGCCCAGGTTCGATCCCTGGTCAGGGAACTAGATCCCACATGCTAAAGATCTCGCATGCTGCAACTAAAGATCCCACACATGGCAATGAAGAGCCCGTGTGCCGCAACTAAGACCCAGTACAGGCACATAAATAAATAAATATTAATATTAAAATATATATATATATGGGACTTCCCTGGTGGCACAGTGGTTAGGGCTCCGCGCTCCCAATACAGGGGGCCGGGGTTCGATTTCTGGTCAGGGAACTAGATCCCACATGCATGCCACAACTAAGGAGCCCTCGAGCCACAACTAAGGAGTCCGTCTGCCACAACAGAGACCCGGCGCAACCAAATAAATAAATATTTATAAATAAATAAATAATTTTTAAAAAAACAGTCTTTGATTTGAAGTCATTCTCTTTATTCTAGTTTGTTACCACACTTTCCTGTATAATTACAGTTTTGCATTTGTGGAATCAAAATTACATGCTAGGTATGTACACTGAGCAGTAAAGGTACACACGGCTCAATACTTTTGGGGCTCTGCCACAATTTTCTCAATCAAATTCCATCTCACTCTTCTTTGATCTCTGCCTACCATATCCCTACCTGCATATTTGGTATCTCTGGCAGCATCCTTCATATTCCACCTTGTATTATCAGCATATACATACTTGTTTACTCATATGCCTTAGTTTACTCTTACCACCACTCCTATACATTGTAAGCTCCATGAGATAGGCAGTTGGTAACATTTGTATGCATTTCAATACTTTTTACATAAAAATGACACTCCAATTGAGTGCACAAGCTCTGGAAGACCGTTCATACCGGAAAAGACCTTGGATCTTCTCATTTAATCCAGTGGTTCCCAAAAACATATCTGCCAACAGATGACAGACCAACTGCCTAAGGACACCAGGGAAAAGTTAAATTACCAACATTTTTCAGGCCCTAGCCCAAATCTGTAGAAGCGGGGCCCAGAAACCTGCATTCTTGGAGTACTGACTCACAAGCCTGAGCATAAGTAGGAGTTGTTAATTTTTAAAGGAGGCCATTAGACTGAGAGGGTTCTAATGAACTTGGCAGCCTAGGTAAGCAAACCAAAACCTAGGCCAGCAAATGCCTCAAAGTTAAGAAACCTAAAGGACAACCAATCACAAACAGCCAAGTAGGTTTTCCCAAATAAGGCAACCACTTAAGCTAGAGCCAATCAAATAACTTCCTCACTTTGCCTCCACATCTCCTCTAGAAAAACCTCGCCCCTAACTCCTGTCTGCTGAGCACTCCTAACCCCTTCTGGTTTGCCACTGCCCAAATCGATTTTTGCTCAAATATACTCTATTTAAATATGCCTCAGTTTATCCTTTAAAAGAATTAACAGGGAAAGAACAGGGGAAAGATTTCCAGGTAAAGAGAAGAACAACAGATAAATGTCAGAGAACCAAGAATAGTTTCATGCTCTCTACAGGCCGTGGAAGATGTCTGCCCCATCCCTAATTCAAGAAGTCTCAGACGATCTGTCCTGCCCACTGTCCTCTCCAACAGGACTCCTTATCCACTGTTCATCCGCCTTAGTACCACCTACACACTGGACCAGAGACGAGCCCTGACCCACAAGCCAAAGGGGACTGCCCCACCTGTCCTGTACCCTGACTCAACAACAGAGACTCACTCTCAGAGAGTTCAAGTTTGAGACAGAGGGGGCGCACAGGAAGTACAGAAGCAAAGGACTAAAAGACAGAGAGGAGGCAATAGGGGCCTTAAAGGAGCAAAGTCAAAGGATAAAAAGAGGGAATCAGTCAACAACACAGTAAGAAGTAGGGAGACAGGTTGAGAGGAAAGGGGAAGAGCAACTGGACTTGCTCTTGGTTCTCCAGAGTCTGAAGTTACTGCTTTCACCCAGACAGCATGAGTGATGTTCCAGTTGTCCACGGAACCTGACTGCCCAGCTACAGAGGTGATCCTGGGCTTCCTCACCTCCCCATACATCCTAACAAATACATACATACACGTTGTCCAAGGTAACCTGAGTGTCTCCATCTCTTACAACCCAAGAGCCTCCCATGTCCACTCAGGATGGCTGGAGGGATGGGAGTAGGTGAGGGACGGCAAAGGGGACACCATCTGTCTATGAGGTAGCAGAGGCTTGGGGAGGGGTTCAGACTTGATTCTAGAGTTGTTCACACACCTACTTGGGGGGGATCTCCAGCACACAAATCAACAGTCTTACCCATTTCTTATCTTCCTGAGAGCAATGAGGTCTATAAGGCAGCTGGTGAGACTATCCTCCCACTTCTCAAAATGAGTCACGGTTCTAGGGGGAATTTTTTGGTGTTTTGTTTTTTACTTGAGCTTTTCATAGAAAACAGAGGCTGATGCTCATGAGGGATAGTAAGCATACATAATGATCGTAGTATATTTAGAACTTCTCAGATGGTACTGTGCAATTCCAGAAAATACCATCCTATTTAACTTAAACTAAACTTTATAAAGGAAGCATAGCAAAGGAATGGTCGATTGTGTTTCAACTTTATAAAACACCAGTCAGGGGTCATTCCCCTGCTGAAAAATACTTGGCTTACTCTTACTGCCTACAGAATAGAACCCATATAGCTTCAAGGACATTTGTAGTCTCACTACTGTTTACATCTTCAGCTTCATCTCCTACCGGATCCACCATCTACTTTTATTTATTAAACTTTTATGGTGCAACTAAGCAATCTAGCAACTCTGGAAATGAGAGTTTTAAGGGAAAAAACTCTCCCAGCCCTCAGTAAGAGATAAGTAACTAAATTCAATTCAGTGTGCTAATGCTATGTTAAAATCATGCAGTACTGGGTATTAAACATATCTAGGCTTCCCTGGTGGCGCAGTGGTTGAGAGTCCGCCTGCCGATGCAGGGGACACAGGTTCGTGCCCCGGTCCAGGAAGATCCCACGTGCCACGGAGCAGCTGGGCCCGTGAGCCAGGGCCACTGAGCCTGCGCGTCCGGAGCCTGTGCTCCGCAACGGGAGAGGCCACAGCAGTGAGAGGCCCACGTACAGCAAAAAAACAAACAAACAAACAAAACGTATCTAGATTGGCAGATTCACAAGGAAGGCTTCTTGGAGGAGGTGACAGTTGAGACTGGAGAGGTGGGTAGGAGCTACCAGAACAAGGAAGTGAGAACATCATGAGAAAAGGCATAGAGGAATGAAACAGTTAAACATTCTGGAATAAAAAGGGGATTGTTAGGAGATGAGACTGGAGCAGTAGGCACGGGGCAGGACTAAAGAGGCAGGCGGGACTAGGAGACGTTGTCTGGCTTGTGGGGGTTATTTGTAAGTGCTATGGTCTGAATGTTCATGTCCCCTCCCCCAAAATTCAAATGTTGAAATCCTAGTGTTAATGGGTGGGGCCTTTGGGAATTGCTCAAATTATGAGGGTGGACCCTCACAAATGGGATTAGTGCCTTATCATAGAGGCTCCAGAAAGACCATTAGCCCCTTCCACCAGATGAGGACAGAGAAAGAAGTGCCAGCTATGGACTAGGAAATGAGCCTTCACCAGAGGTAACCATGCTGGCACATTGATCTTGGACTTCCCAGCCTCCAGAACTGTGAGTAATACGTTTTTCTTGTTTATAAACTACCAAGTTGGTGGTATTTTTTTAATAGCAGCCCAAAAGGAATATGACAGTAAGTAACAGGGAGCCTTGTAGGTTTTTGAGATTGGTATGATGAGAATCAATATTAAAATAGAGGATGCGGGACTTCCCTGGCAGCGCAGTTGTTAAGAATCCACCTGCCTATGCAGAGAACACAGGTTCAAGCCCTGGTTCGGGAAGATCCCACATGCTGCGGAACAACTAAGCCCGTGAGCCACAACTACTGAGCCTACGCTCTAGAGCCCACGAGCCATAACTACTGAGCCTGCGTGCCACAATTACTGAAGCCTGCATGCCTAGAGCCCATGCTCTACAACAAAAGAAGCCACTGCAATGAAAAGGCCATGCACCACAACAAAGAGTAGCCCCTGTTCACCACAACTAGAGAAAGACTGCACGCAGCAATGAAGACCCAACAGAGCCAAAAATAAATTAATTAATTACTTTTTTTAAAAAATAGAGGATGGGTGGAATCAGGGAAACCATATTCAGGGTACCATTTAGAATCTGCATTGTAGAAATCCAGCAGTGACAACTGTCAATGCCTTCCAGCCAAAAACCACCAGGAATTCTCATTTCTAGTTTACTGTTCCTTGCAACAAGGAGGCAGCACACCATGGAGAACCGTGGGGGAGGGTCTGAGTAAGAGGGCATTAGAAAAGATTTGGGCTTATGTTAGGTGATGTTAGGACAGCATAGGTTTGCTGTCAGGAACTGGGGACAAGTCTATGACTCAGTATCTTAATAAAACTATCTACAAGGTGGGGAAAACTGTCAAAGCTAAAACTGTAGGTGGTAAAAGGAGCAGCAGTCATTTATATCAGTCAAGACAGGGGGATAAGAACTTCCCCAGTGACACAGTGGTTAAGAATCTGCCTGCCAATGCAGGAGACACGGGTTCGAGCCCTGGTCCGGGAAGATCCCACATGCCACAAATTAACTAAGCCCGTGCACCACAGCTACTGAGCCTGAGCTCTAGAGCCCGCGAGCCACAACTACTGAGCCCGTGTGCCTAGAGCCCATGCTCCACAACAAAGAGTAGCCCCGGCTCACTGCAACTAGAGAAAAGCCCACACGCAGCAACGAAGACCCAATACAGCCAAAAATAAATAAATAAATAAATTTATTTTTTATAAAAAGGGAATAGGGAGTGCTATAATTTGGGGGTTTTGTTTTTTCTTTTTGTTTTTTGTTTGTTTTGTTTTTGGGGGTGCTGTAATTTTAAATGGGATGATCAGTACCAGCCTCTCTGAGAAGATGACATTAGACCAAACTTCAGGAAGAGCATTCTGGGAATTCCCTGGCTGTCCAGTGGTTAGGACTCGCGCTTTCACTGCTGAGGGCTCAGGCTCAATACCTGGTCGTGGAACTAGGATCCTGAAAGCCACAAGACATAACCAAAAAAAAAAAAAAGATCGTTTTGCCAAGGAGAGGTTCTGGTAGAGAAGACAGCCAATGCAAAAGCCCTAAGGCTCCAGAGCTCAAGGAACAGCCTGGAGGTCTGACTAGCTGGAGCATGTTAGAGAGGCCACAGGGCCTGTAAGCATCATTGGATTTTGGCTTTTACTCTTAAGTGAGCTGAGGAGCTATCAGTCTTGAGCAGAGAGATGAGATGCAGAATATATCTCATTGGAGACAGAAACTTCTGAGTTTTGCTATAAAGGAGAAATGGGGTAATAGCATAAGAGATGGGGGCAGGTGACAAGAGAAGGTTTGTTGTTGTTTTTTAAGAGAAATAGCATAATTGCATGTTGAACGTTTGGCTTGAAATTAAAATCACAATTCTTGACTCTTCTGCTTCCCCAGTGCACTGCTTTATTTGACTGCTCTATGTCTTGAGAGAGAAGGGGCTGTACTTGCTTGATCCATTCATTCAATGAATTACTTAGTATCACAACATATACAAACTAATGTAACCAAATTGAAGTTAATAATTTCTGAAATCTATAGTTTTCAGCTTCTGGACAAGTATCTAGCTATAAAAGTGATTTCTTAATAAACTCTTTCAAATTCACTCTTTCCCCACAATCTTTCCACATAATAGAGAATTAAGAAAATATGTCATGACACAAACTACTCGTCAAACAATTACAGTAGTAAAATATTCAAAAGGCCCCTTCAACAAATTTTATGACTACAGCTCAAGAGTTTAGTAATCAACTCGTACATGAATCCTGAAATTTTTCCTTTTTTTTTTGGCTGTGCACGGCATGCGGGAGTTTAGTTCCCTGACCAGGGATCCAACCCATGCCCCCTGCAGTGGAAGTGCGATGTGCTAACTACTGGACTGCCAGGGAAGTCCCTGAATCCTGAATATTTTAAAAGATGGTATCAAATGTTTTGTAAAACTGTCCCAGCATTTATGACTTAACTGTTCTTTTAACTGTTCTTTTAGATGAGATTTACTTATTTTCTTTTTGCTGAATTGCTCATTTAGCTGTTTAGAAAAATGATATCAGCTGTAAGGGATTTTTGCATAATTGGCCATCTGTTTCAAGGTAATGAGTACAGACTGCACCCTGCAAGTGATTCATAAGTTTCGTTAACTTCCTCCTTCAGAAACCAGGAAATAGGTGAAATCCATAATTATCAGTTTCACTACAGCATCTTTTTGAGGTAGTAAGTATTTTGGTGGTTGAGTTTGAGGGTTTACTTGAAAAGATCATTTGTTTAAAAAAGAAGTTTTGCCGGTTTGTATTTGGAATCTGAATATAGTTACCAAGAATCCCACAGCTGCTATGCAATGAACTTGGAACCAGGAAAACTTGATTCGAATCCCGACTCCGCCACACATGAGTCCAGTGGCTCTGGGCAAGCTACTTGACTTCTCAGAGCCTCATGTAGCTCAACTGCAAAATGAGAAGACTCCTTGCCTCAGTGCTATGGTGAGGATGGAATGACCACCCTGTAGCCTTAAACGCCTCGCACAGCCAGGGACACATTACAGACTCCCCGCCATCAGGTCAGGCCAACTCCTTCCCTCTTTTCCTTAGCAGAAAGAGTACAGCTCTTCATACAGTGCCATTTGTATCCTTATAGCCACCTCTCTAGAGAAAAGGTAGGACTTCTGATATAGTCATATAAAGGGGGAAAATTTTTGTTTTTTCCCCACTGACATCTCAAAAGTTTATACCACTATTCCTCTTACTGGGGGAATGGGATGAGAAATGGTATCTCACTAGTGTACATTTTATTTTAATAAATTACTCGTTTCAAAAGTAACTATTGAGGACTTCCATGGTGGCGCAGTGGTTAAGAATCCACCTGCCAATGCAGGGGACACAGGTTCAATCCCTGGTCCGGGAAGATCCCACATGCAGCAGAGCAACTAAGCCCGTGCACCACAAATACTGAGCCTGTGCTATAGAGCCTGCGAGCCACAACTACTGAGCCCGCGTGCCACAACTACTGAAGCCCGCGCGCCTAGAGCTCGTGCTCTGCAACAAGAGAAGCCACTGCAATGAGAAGCCTGTGCCCTGCAACAAAGAGTAGCCCCCGCTCGCCACAACTAGAGAAAGCCCGCGTGCAGCACTGAAGACCAAACGCAGCCAAAAAATATTCATTCATTCATTTAGAAAGTAACTATTTAGATACTTTGACATATACTATGATGATCAATACTTTACCTTGAATATACTTAACTCTTTTTAGTCTAGATGGAAAACCTGCATTAATGTTGATTATATGCATAAACATACTAATATATATATCTAGGGTTATAAAAATTTATGAACTTTGATAAAGCACATCAAAATACCTAATGTTTATCTTGAAATTTTAATGCAAGTCAGCACATTGTAAACTTAAAATGCTGAACGTGGTTGCCAAGTTATTGCTGAGACACCCTGGAAAACTTGGGAAGCAATATAACTTCATGGAATTTGGAGCCAGAAAAAAAACCTGGGTTTAAACCCAGGCTCTGGGACTTCCCTAGTAGTCCAGTAGTTAAGACTCTGCACTTCCAATGCAGGGGGCATGGGTTTGATCCCTGGTCGGGGAACTAAGATATCACATGCCGCACAGCATGGCCAAATAAATAAATTAATTAAATAAACACAGGATCTGCCACTTACTGTATGTAATTTTGAAAATTTTCTGAACCTCAAAGCATTAGTTTCCTATCTGTGAAGTAGGGATAATAATAATACTTCTCAGGGATTAAGTGGATTGAGTAAAGTCATGCATCTAGAACTCAAAATAGTATCCCATTATGATGAGGAAGACTTAATGCAAAGTAAATAAATCTGGAGTCCCTGGTTACAGGACAGATATTTAAAGTTGTCAGTTAAGAATGCTAACTAGCTCACTTAGCTTAGAAACAAGAAGATCCAAGTTTAAAATAACGGCCCAGCTTTTTTGTTGCTAGCTATGTGACCTTGGCCAAAGGCCAGACACATTGTACCTCAGCCCACTCATTTAACTGTTAGGTATTAATGATATTAGGTATTAATGATATTAGTTACAATTTGTAAAGCACTGACCATACACCAATGCAATCTGATAGGTTTACACATGCACTCCAGTCTTTACAATAACCCTTCAAGGTAGATATCCTTATCTCTATTTTACAAATGGCTGAAATTGAGAGAAGTTAAACTTGTTCAAGGCCACCCAGCTAGTAAGTGGTAGAGCCTGGATCCACAGTGGGGTTTGTCAGTCTCCAAATCCTGTCCTTAACTACCCAATGAACTCTCTGCCACCTACCTCTCTTAGAGAAGATCAAATAACATTTTTCCTGCAAGAGTGCTTTTTGAATTGAAACGTCCTATACAAACGTGAAGTATTATCGTTAATACTCTATATCAATCTAAATAATTCATAGAATGGGTCTGTGGTTTGCCCCCTCAGTGCCTGGGAACCCTGAAAGAATAAAAGGTTAGCTTCAAGATCTCTTTCATCTCCTCTTGGAATTTTGTCTTGACCTCAATTTCGCTTGAACTGACCTGATAAAC